CTGCCCATCCCTGGTCCTTCTGCTTTCCTCACGCAGGCGTTGCCACCTGGTGCCCTTCAACCTTTACCAAAGAGGCCAGCACTTGAAAAAAACAATGGTGCCACCACAGTCTTTAACCCCAGTATGTTCCACTATCAACAGACCTTGGCAAACATGCAGTTGCAACAGCCGACGTTCATTCCTACAGGTAGGTCACCTCGGGGGGAAGGGGGCTCTAGCTCCTCTCACTTAGAAAAGTGCCAGCGCTCCCCTACCCGGACTTCCTACTCCCCTCCGGGTTTTGGCCAGACTTTTTCAGCACCCGGTTTAAGGCAGGGGTGGTGGTGCCCTGGCTTGCAAATCCGCTTCAGCACCTGGGAGAGCGCCTTTTAAAGTTGGGAGGAGGCTCTGGAGCAGATTGCCTGCCGCCAAAGGCCATCCACTCCTGCCCGTCTCCTCCTCCCTGGCGGTGTGCTGTCGTTGCCCCTGGAGACGGCAAGTTTTACAGCCCAGCTTTCGCTCTTTGCTAAGCGGGATGCTTCCAGCCGCTCTCCCCTGCCCCCTTAAGAAGCTGTACTGGCTCCAACCTCACCTCCTATCCTCCCCTTTTCTGCTGCACCAGCTGATCCGTGGGGCTGCAGATTTGCACAGGTGTCGCACGGTGGCAGGTGTACAGGCAGGAGGTCTCCTGGGGAGTTTCAGCGCTAGACTGGGGTTTGCCACAAAGCGCCAAAGGACAGGATGGAGTGCCCTTGCCATCTCTCTCTCTCTCTCTCTCTCACTCACTCTTCCTGTCTCTCTCTCTCTCTTTTCACCTTGCAGGGACCATAAAGAATCTTTAAAAAGAGGGTAAACAAGGCAGGTCTCAGCTCTCATACCAAATTCGGTGGGGCCAAGCTGCTGCTTGGGCTTCCTTAGAAGCGTCTCCCCTGCCCTCGTTTTTTAATTTAAGAAAACAGCCGCACGACGTTGCATTTCCCGCAGTGAGCCATGGGGCTGGAGGTGTTCCCACGGGGCTGCGCTGCGCAGATGCACACGACTTCGTAGTCTTTAATTTATTTGCCCAAGGTTGTAGCATTCCTGGAGATGTGAAGACAGGCAGGCAGGCAAAATAAATAAATAAATATGAGTCCATTTTAAAGCAGGGGTGGGCAACTTCGGAGCCTCGAGGCCATTTCCGGCCACTGGACAAGCTCCCGCAGGCAGCCGTAGCCTCCCCTTTTCCGGCCTTGTTCCGTTCCACCCCACACAGCAAAATCAGAAAGAAATCACCTTCTCAGCTGCTCCACCTAATCCATAAGTACCACCGGTTTCTCAGATATGGAGTGAGAGGGAGGCAAAAAGATGGAAAATATTTAAAAAAAACAAAACTCCCGCACATGGAGCTCCTGTGCAACAACTCTGGTGATCTTTTCCATCAAGGGTGCTCTTCCTTTGTGCACCTGCCTATCGGCTCTGTGGTTCAGGGTCAGGATCAGGAGCCAAGGAGAGCCTCTTTGGGAGGGAGTCTCAAATTCTGGGAGCAGCCACAGAGAAGGCCCTGTCCTGCGTACCCGCAACGCGTACCCTGTGAGGATGGTGGAACCGAGGGAACGGCCTCTCTCCTGATGATCCGGACGGGCTCATAAAGGGAGAGGCAGGCCTTGAGACAGCTTGGACCCAGGTCCTTTAGGGTTTTATAGGTTCCCAAGCAAGACCTCTAAGCTTGAGGTCCCCTGGCTTGTTTTATATTGCTTTTAGGGTTGTACTACACCCTAGAGGGTACATGAGCTAGACGGCGGAACATAAATAAATGCTCTAAACAAGTAAAATGCACAAACAGATCTTCAGCTCCTACATGTGTGTTCTCCAACAAAGAAGTTGGCAAGTCTTTGGCTCCAAGTCTTTGATAACAAGTCCTGAGACCCAAGACCCACGTCTGAGTCCCTATTTTAAAAAATGGGGTTTTCCCCCAGGAAAAAGGGAGGGGTGGGCGGGTTCTGAGTCGTGAGTCTTACGCCTGAGTCATTGGGGAAAATAAAAACAGAGTCGAGTCACCGTTGCAACTTAAATGTGACTTGAAAGTGAGTCCCGTGACTTGAGACCCCATCCGTGGAGCATCCCTTAGCATTGATTTCGGCGAGGACGCCTCTGGTTGCGTAGCGCTCCATGTGCCTTGCCCAGCCCTACACATCTCTCCAGGTTGAAAGAGGGAAACGGGTCCCATTAGGTTGAATCCGAATCTTGCATGATGTCCTGGGAGTGGATGCTGGAACAGCAAGAACAGATCAATAGTCTTTATTTTCTTTGAACTTGGAAAATATAAAAAGTTTCTCTTGTTAACCCATGAACTGCTTCACTAATGAAATGTCCCTTCTGTTCATCTTTCCACGCTTCACTGCATGGCGTGCAGGGTCTGTGCTCTGCATGACTCCCACAGCAAGCGTTGGTAGGTTTATTTTCTACACAAACTTCAACTTTTCCTAACCTGAATGAAGCATTGTATTCCTCTATGTCACTGGCAGAGAAGGTGGAGGGGAGGATGGATGGATGGTGTGCAATGCGATGCAATGTTCCATGATGTGCTGTGGCTAAAAACCCACTGTCGTCTTAAAGGCTGAGATGGTCATATCCCTTTTCATGTCTGTGCAGTGTGGCAAGTTCAGTTACTAATCAGTAGGGCTGAGCTGAGACTTGTGCTACAAAGTGCCCCTTTTGACAATTTTTTGCTGTACCTATTGGGGTTTTTTTTCACCCCTGGTTGCTTTGTTCCATATCCATATAGGTTTAGCTACATACATAGTAGCATGGTCTTGTTTGGGTTTCCATGTGGTCCCCAGTTGGCTAGGATCACCTTGGAAGTATTGCCCTTCCCCTCACTTGACTTTTTGCCATCTCTCTCAATGGGCTTCCAGTCCCAGTCACTTTATTATATAAGTTTGAGCTGCATTAACAGCATACTCTTTTTTAAAAAAATTACTGTGTGATTCCCTAGTTGGCTAGGATCATCTTAGAAGCATGGTTCTATTTCTCAGTTGACCTTTTGTCTTCACTGAATTATCACACAGCCAAAATCTGATTAGCTAGGTGCTGGTATAATATCACTCTGTTTACTATGTGATTCCTGACTGGTTAGGACCCCCTGCAAGAAAGCCAGTAACTCTTCTGTTTTTTTAAAGAAATTCTATCAAACAAGCAACAACAGCAACTACCAAAAGCAGTAGATAGCATTTTATGTTAAGGAGAATATTCTCCCAGGTCAGAAAGCTTTCAGATAATAATTTAACCCCTTCAGAAGCGCATTTAAAAGAAAAAATCATGGTAGAATATCGGCAAAGCTCTACTGATGAAGCAACTCCGAAAAGGATGCATTCCAAGCATCCATGCTGGTTCTGTGACAAAGACAGCCCTTTGAACATCCCTGGTGGGGTATCCTTTGAGTCATGTGACCTATGAGTGGTCCACATATCCCAAGGTAGAAGGAGAGGCCTTGATAACTTGTGAGTGTTTGTTTTAAAGGCATGCGATTTAAATGAAACCTTTGTGACTAACACAGGCATGAGGAAGGAGGTGCAGGACTTAGGAAGACAGTCTGGTATGATCAATCAAAATTGGGTGATCAATCTCCAAGAATGATGGAGATTACCCTTCTTTGATTGAACAGGAGCCTGTTTGCCTCTGCACAAAATGACTTTGAAATGGGATTCGAGGCTTTCACCAGCAGAGTCCTGCCCTCAAAAGAAACACTGGAAATGTACGCTGTACGAGAATGCTAGATTGGGTTCCTTAAAAACCATGCTTAAGATTGCATCTACACGATGCAGTTATAGCCGTTCGATGACCAGTTTGGCTATTGTGGCTCCATCCTGTGGAGGCCAGCAGTTTAGAGAGGGACTTAACATTCTTCGCTGGAGTGCTGTAGCGCTGTAGTTCGCGGGAAGGCATTAGAAAGCTCTAGCAGAGAATTCTGCGTCTCTTCCCAAACAGCAGATCCCAGGATTCCATAGCGCGGAATAGTGGCAGACAAAGGAGGATCAAGGTGATAGAACTGAATTGCGTAGGTGCCCTTTTAGACCATCGAAGGCAACCAGGGCTTACTGAGGTCTCCTCTATTCCCACAATCCCGTGTTGCCTGGAGATCCAGAGAAAGCAGGGAGTAAGTCCAAATGAAAAAAAAACGATGCTTGTAGCACTTTTTATTTGAGAAGATTGTACTTCCGTTAGTTTTAAAAAAATTGAGAGAGCTTATCCGTAAGTGCTTATCCTGACGTGTCTCCCTCTCATCCCACCCACTGATGTTTCTTTTGGTTTTTGAGGATGTTCACCCTTCCCTCCCCTGTGGTGCAATCTTTTCCCAGACACGATTGTCACAGAACCAGCAGCTGCACGCAGTTACTGCCAAACTGTGTTGCAAACATGGAAGGGATGCTGTTGTCCGCAGCCGTCACGTGCGGTGCGGCGTTAAACCGCCACGTGCGCCGGGACGACAGCGTCTTGTCCGAACCCTTGCTCCCAAAGCGCCCCCCCTCATGTGCTTTGGATTCATCCATGGAGGGGGCGGGGAGGAAAAGGTGGTCTTTCAAAGCAGGGTGGGACTGGCGTGGTGCCCTTCTGTGGCCGCGGGTGCATAACCTGCGCCAAGCATGGCCCGTTTTGGGGTGGCCCCGTGGGCTGCCCGCTGATGCACTAACCAGCCAAGGGGAAAGGTCTCCGTGGCCGTTGACACCTCTCCCACCCCCTCTTTGGAAAACGTGCCTCGCCCGTTCCCCACCCAACCCACCCTCCGGAGTTGTATAACATCATTGTTCTGCTTATAAATGTTTACTAAGTGTTGGAAATATTTTAGTTTTTTTTCCTTAATTATAATTGTAATTGGCTTTTCCCCCTTTTTTTCTCTTTTTATTTATTTTTTCCTCCCTCCCTGTCTCTCCCCCCCCCCCAAAAAAATATATATGCTATTTTGCTTTGCACTGTGGTTGCATGCTGCCGGGAAACCCCCCCTCCGTGTGCCCTCCCGTGACGTCACCATGGCTTGCTGCTGTGATTCCTGACACGCCCCTGCCACGCGTTGCCATGGTTACGTGTAAAAAACGCGCCACCTTCCTCTTGTGTTGCTTCCATGGCCTCCCTCCTGAAAAGTTCCCATGATGCACGGTGCTACGCCCACCACTGTTTCTGCAGCAACAACACCGGCCACCAGCGTCCCTTTCACCGCAGCTCCTTCCGCCAATCAGGTTTGCCCCCCTTTCAATGGCTTTCTTTCACAAGCGTGTGGTCGTGTCAGGGGCTGTGCAGGATTCCCCATCCTGCGTGGGGCCAGAACAGGTTGGGGTGTGTGTGTGTGTTGAGAGCTGAGCCCCGGAGCCGGGAGGAAAATTAAAAACTGGGGAGAGGTGAACAAAAATTAGACTCAACCTTTGCATTGATCGTTTTAATGATCAATGCAAAAAGGTTGCATTGATCATTAAAATGCACCCAGTGCTTTTGGGGGGGAAAGTCTTGTGATTCCTTCCTCGGCTCATAAACCCCGTGCCTGTTTTAGGTCCATTTTCAGGACATGGTCCAGCACACAAGTTCCAAATCTGTTATTAATTTCAGTATAGAGGGGTTGGGCTGGATGATCTTACGGGGTCTCTTCCAAAACTTTGCAGCTCTAGGATGATCGGGATGAGGACGAGGATGTTATTGAAAATACCTGGTGAAAAGTTTAAAATGTTGGTGGCTGAGAAAGTCGTTGCACACTCAGGAAATTAAGAGGGACTGGCCGGTCCTTTTCCGGAGTGCCCAAACTATTGATGGGGTCGACTGGGTAACGGAACGGACAGGCTGCCGTTTGCTCTCGAGGAAGGAATTGCCGACTTTTCCGAAACAGGTTGACGTCGTTCGGAGTTCAGGAACACAAGTTTCCTTTTGCCATTGAGGATGCTGTTCAAAACAAAACAAAAGCCACACCTCTCCTCACAGTGTTACTTACCCTGGAGGAAACCATCGTTTTACCTCCCTGCAGGGTTTCCCACTCCTGCCTTAGCATATTTTTAGGAGGTATAAATTAGAGGTGGGAAACCTTAGGCCCTGAGGTCCCAGTCTGGCCCTTCTGGAACTCTCTGTGACCCCGGCTATTTGGAGATTCCCTTCAATGTTTTCTATACTTCCTCCTGTTTTTTAACCACTTGAAATGACTCTTCTGTGGCTTAGTAGCTGCCGGCGGTCAAGCATTTCAGACTAAAATAAGCTGGAGTTGTGGCCCTGGCCATCCTGGGTTTTCTCTGCAGTTTTATTCGGCCCTCAAGATAAAGAAAGCCCCCCACCTCACCCCATTTCCCCCATAGATACAGATTTGGGATTCCCAAACGGCGCCGATCTCTGTGGAAAGTTAATTGTTGATATGACAAAGGGGAATCCAGTAGGAAGGCAGGATCATTTCCAAAGTCTCCTCTGTGGCAGATGGGATCTGTGCTCTCTTGTGGAGTATTTCCGGCTCCCCAGGGTATGAGGCGGGTGGGTCGGCAGCTCTGACATTGTGCCCCATGAAGGATGGAGTCCTTGACAAAGCAGCGTATTCATATGTTTGGGTCTGATGATGGGGCAGTGGCTTCTTTTTCTTCTCGGAAATTCTGGTAGCAAGAGTTTGGTGGATAAAAATCCAGCCCGAAAGGAAAGATGCTTGGGAGCGCTTTCTGCTAGATCAGACCAAGCGTGCCTTGAAATGGCCTCTAGTTCCTTCAAAGTTGTGTTGTTGTCATTTTAAAAGCCTGGGCATAATTGCTTTCTGCCTCTCCTGCTTTTTATTCACATCGAAGCAGGACAGAAAAGCACCGAACGTAATATATCGATTAGATTTTTTTATGGGACGATACAGTAGCTCGTTACAAAATTTGCCCTCCCGTTGAATTTGTGCGAATTTTCTGTTTCTCCAGTATTTTTCTAATCAATCTCATCAAATCTATTTGGACCTATGATAATCTTTCGGTCTCAGAGGTTCTGAGGCAAAATGGGTTTTTCCGCCAAACCTGAGTGCATTGCGTCAACCCATTTTCCCCTCATAGAAATATAGCCGGAGGGCTCCAGAGGAGTCAGGGAAGAATTTCGTTCAAATGTTAGCATTCGTATCCACCTGATGTACCCTGTTCAGTATTGTCCAGACGTTTTGGACTACAACACCCATCAAAAATTCCTTGCACCGGCACGAGGATGATGGGAGTTGAGTCCAAGATATCTGGAGGACCCTTGGATGGGGAACATTTGGGATGAGAACGATCAATGGGAGAGGGGTTGCACACCTCGTCTATCCCAGGCAACAGATGCGGAATGGCTGTACCAAAGGGGTGGGGTACCTCAAGCCCTGGGACCAATCTGCCCTTTGTGGATTTGGCAAGGGGCAGATTTTCCCGGAAGGCTGGGCCCATAACCCTGTCACCATCATTCAGGCTGAAATGCTCCTTCTCTGGGACTTACTTTCTGGCTGACTCATATGTGGGTATTTTTGAACCCACCCCTTTGGCCTCACTCACCACAAAACTATGCCCGTCCCTTTGCAAAAAAATAAAAACAAAAATTCTTGAGCATTGACTTTGGCCCTTGGGCTGAAAGAGGTTTCCCGCCCGTCCTGTAATGGATCGTGCAGTGTCAGTTTTATTTGGAGGGTGCCGGTAGCCATACAGAGCGATCTCTTGGGTCTCAGGACCAATCCTGATGTAGGGAGCAGGGTCAGTTATTAGCACGGCTGGTTCAGCTATGCTAATCCTTTGTTTTGTTTCATTCCATTATCTGATTGCCCATATGAAGCAAGAGAGAATATCTCTCCTACTCTCCTCATCCCAGTTTTATCTGGGTTCTGAATTCTCTAGCTATGGCTCTACACCCTTTCAGTAAAAGTGACACTTAGTAAGTCCAGGGTTACAGCCAGTCCGCATTTAGTGACCACACGGATAGTCAGGCGTTGATGATATTCTGATTTCCGCTAGAAAAGGCAAACCATTGCCCCATGAATCATTCTTTTAATTCGCCTGTGCCTTTGTTAGGGATTAGAGGTTGGAAGGCTGAGGGTCAAATTACACGTTGAGTGAAATGCCGCAGTATTCTTGCTGCATCATATTTTCCCTGCAGACATGTGGTTCCTTCAAAGCTCCATGTCAAACTAATCAGACTTTGAAACAAAGCCTGGGTTTACATTCTATTGACGTGTCACAAAACAAAGCAAGATGGTTTGCAACCAAACTCATGCTATGATAAACAGAGTTTGTTTACATTTTAAGAGAGCTCTGCTCCTAATGACATGCTAACCGCCTCATCCAGTTTGACCCTCAGCTGTTCAAAGCAGTGGTATCTGCATCACTGATTTCAAGAGAGAATGGATGAAGCACTGATTGAGGGAATGTGTTAATGGGAAACTTGTCTTCTCCCCCCCACCTTGTTCTGCAGATATCCCAGTTATCAGTCGATGACTTGAACAGCAGCATGTTTGTTTCACAAATGTAGAAGCAAGCAACGGAACTGTGAGTTTATTTATTGATTTATATTCTATAAACATTCACTTATCACTTTTCCTTCCCCGAGGTAGTTTACAACACCGGGTATTAAAGCCGATGAAATACATTAATTACAGTAGTACCCTGCTTAGGGTACTACTTTCGAAGAAAATGGGGCGCTCACTGATTCAGAACTAACTGGAGTAATCTTAACAAATCCGCACGGAGAGGATAAATCAGACTCCAGATCTCTTGGGAGCCCAATCTGGTTCTTTCAGATAGACAAGGCTCTGGTTTAGGACTACCAAATGACCAATGCGCTGTAGTGAATTAGCGCTACATGGAGTGGCTCTTATGTGAGGTATCACTCTACAGTGAAGTCAAGCAATAAAACCAAAGAAGTAATAAATAAAACAATAGAATCACAGAATAATTGCACTGGTCTACCCCTTGCTTGGGATGTGGTGGTGCTGTGGGTTTGGCTCTTATGTGAGGTATCACTCTACAGTGGAGTCAAGCAATAAAACCAGAGAAGAAGTAATAAATAAAATAATAGAATCACAGAATAATTGCACTGGCCTACCCCTTGCTTGGGATGTGGTGGCGCTGCGGGTTAAACTGCAGAAGCCTCTATGCTGCAAGGTCAGAAGACCAGCCGTCGTAAGATCGAATCCACGCGACGGAGGGAGTTCCCGTCCCTTGTCCCAGCTCCTGCCAACCTAGCCGTTCGAAAGCATGCAAATGCAAGTAGATAAATAGGTACCACCTCAGTGGGAAGGTCACAGTGTTCCATGTTTAGTCGCGCTGGCCACGTGACCATGGAAACTGTCTACGGAAAAATGCTGGCTCTATGGCTTGGAGACGGGGGGGAGGACCGCGCCCTAGAGGCAAGCATGACTGGACTAAATGTCAAGGGGAACCTTTACCTTTACCTTACCCCTTGCTTGATAGTTTGTTAAAATAACGAGGAAAGTTACAGACTAGGCTGGAAAGGAGCAAAATGGCTGGATGCAGGAAGAAACCACAGTGTTGTAAGCAAGGGCTCCCATCCTGTAGCCCCACGATCCCCAACCTTTTTAGCCCTGCAGACCGGCTGGGGGAGGTGGGGCACCCCCCTGCACTCGTGCGCGTGCACAAAGGGCGGCTCAGTGCTCGTGCAGGCATAGTCGCTCGCGTGCAGGCACAAATCGGTTGTGCAGGGGGGAGTGCGTGCAGGGGGGAGGTCTCGCTCTGCGGCCCGATCCAGCTGAGGCCATGGACTGGCATTGGGCCACGAACTGGCGGTTGGGGACCTCTGCTGTAGCCATGGTGCACCAACATCTTATGCGGGACTAAATTGGTACGATTCAGAACCGCTGTGTCTGTGCAGAACAGTCTCAGCATTCTTCCTGCTTCCGAGAGCCCCCGCTGTTCATTGCACCTCCAGTGAGGATTGTCAATGTGAAGGAGGCCACATAGAAAACCACATTTGTAGCCCAGCTTCACAATGCCCCGTTCAGAGGCTTAGACGCTGTCTTTTTAACTCTCTGGACATTTCCTTTGGAACTGCCCAGTGTTTTGCTGGCAAAGAGAGGGTGAACACATTTCTAACTGTTGTGACATGAGATCACTTTAAAAACAGATTAGAGAAATTCATGGAGAAGACACAGACTTTTGCTCAGTAGGCGTCGGTCATGGGTGTCACCAGTTAGAAGACACACATTGAATCAATGGGTGTTGTCTTTCCAAATCCGAACTCTAATTTGGAGGCCCAGCCCAAGGTTTCAAATGGTGTGTCAGACTAGGACTGAGAAGACCTGGGTTCAAATTCATGGAAACTTAATGGAACATGTTTTACATGTCTCAAGAGCCCTGTTAGGATCGTCATAAGCCAAAAATGATATCAAGTTATCAGCAACATCGATGAGACAGGCAGTTGGATTTAAGGCATGGTTGTTGAGTTCTCTTTTTTTGACCCATTTCTCTTCTTTTCTCCTCACCGCCCCTCTCCAGCAAACCATGTTGAAATTCTGAATTTGAAATCACGGACTTTTCTGTCTTGGTGGAAAGCTACAGCCGGGCTCACTGTATGTATACGGCCATCCTTTCCTCCTCTCCGAGATCTACAGTAAGCCTGTTGCGGCTGACGTGTTAACCAAAAACTGATCCATGGGAATGTCGAAACAATTTTTTTTAAAAGCACTATAGAAAAACAATTAACAAAACAATGCTCTGTATACAAGACATAGAAGTAGAGGACTATACTAGTAGACTTTTATAACACCGTAACTTTAACACACTTTTAAGAAAAGCATTTTTTCCCCCCTGAGTACCATCAAGAGAAAGTGCTTCGGCGCAACGGACTTCATTGACTTATTGTTCTCTTGTTGACGGATAAATGTTGGTCTGTTTTTCAAAGTGTTATCTTACTGTTTTGTTTACATCCTAGTCTATACTGATTTGTTTCAAAGGGGGGGAAAAAGAAAGAGCTGTATACCATTATCAAGCATATTCAACACCATTTGTTTTCATTATCATAATGTCTTACATTTTCTTATCTTATGGTTCTGTTGGGTTTCTCTTCTCTTCTTATTTTATTTTTTTTTTAAAAAATATGACAAGCTAAGAATGTTATCGTGGGAAAAAGGAATGATGGTCTCGGGTGCTTTTTAAAACAACAACAACAACAACAACAAAGCAGGACATGAGAATGTTTAGATGTTTGCTGTCTTCTGTTTTAAAGCCGTGCAGCTTTTTTTTTTCTTCGAAGCTTCCGTCGGGAATACTAGACTGCCTTCAAAAATGGAGTCTCTAAAAAACTTGTTGCAATTTATGGGAAAGGAGAGCCATTGAACCGGGAAGTTGTTTGGGGTGGGTGGGTGGGAGACGGGAAGAATGTGAAAGGGATCATAGAGAGATCAGGATCTCAAGGTTCAAGAGGATTTTAGTGAGTGTATCAGAGGGAAAAGGAGAGGGACCTGCCTTTTACTGCAAACGGCGCACAATAATGCTGATGTTTTAACAATCTTGTTCTAAATAGATTGCAGCCAGATTGGTTCAAAATCAGGTCTTCTTGCCCACAAGTCCTCTGCTAATTTGCAGACCCCCACCCCACCCTGTGAAAGATGTAGGAGTGGTGGAAGGGGGGAGCGTTGGGGGTTTTATATGCGTGTGTGTTTAAATATAAGTGACCCATCCTCACCTCTGTTGTGTAACCCAGGAAAGTAGCACCAAAGAGCAGCCACAGGTCCTCACGAGGGGGTTTTCCTTGTAAAAATAAAACAAAATAAAAACACAGGGGTGAACAGAACAGGAGTTAAAAGGCACCCCAGCGATTCCTCCCAAGGGCTCTTTCCTGGTCGCAAAACCATGTCGTGACATCCTGGTGGCAGAGGTGAGAAGCTCAGATCTGCATCCAATTCTGAGGGACTTTGATTGTGTGCCTACTCAGGAGCAGTCGTTGATTTTTCATGGACTGAGGCAGAGACACGGTGGATGATGCTGCGTGTAACTGAGTATAGAGCTGATGAAGAAAAAGGACACCAGAGGATCCCGCTCAAACACAGCTCCTTCTACACTCCGATAAAATTGCACTAAAAACTGAGAGTAAGACAGGAAGGGGGAATCTTTCTTGGCCATGACAGAGACATTTTTTTGGCTGCTCAGAGCTGGTTGTTGGTGGAAGAGTCTCTTCCACATCATCAGGATTCGTTGCATGAGATGGGAAGCAGTGGCCCAGAAAATGATCTGATTTAAGGCTGGTTGCCTTAACTCCTTGCTCTCACTCCCATTCGCACCAGAAAATACAGAGAAGTTTAGTGTTTCCATCTAGAAATCCCAGATTGATGAGGGTTTCTCCAGAGAAGTAGAGTGGACTTGCTTTCCTGACCAGAAAGCCTGTTACAATGGATAAAGACCAGGAAGCACTGAGATGTCTATAGCTTGTAGAAAGACTGTGGTAGAAGCTGACCAAGATGTTGGTGGATCAAGAATTAGATGTTGGCCTTCTTCTTGGCTTCTTATCCCTTGTTGTGAATGTGAACTTGAACCACTGATGTCACACCTTCAGTCTACAAAACGGGGACCCGGCTCCATACCAAGAGTGCTTTTGTGAGAATGTTCTAAGCATCTGCCTAATGGAGTGCTTAGACTCCCTGTATTCTTATCCTCTCCTGCCGCCTTGCCCTGGTCTTGGAGAATTCTGTAAATTGCTGATGAAGATGGTTGGGCGCACCAACGACGTCATCGGACAACTGGGCGTCGAGAGACTGAACAGGAGAGAAACAAATTTGTCGAACTGAGTAAGAATTCGCAGAAGAAATTCATTGAAATTTGCTAAACTCAAACTCTGAAGATCCTGTTTTAGAGTTGGCTATTGAGAAGGTTTCGGCCCCCAGCCCAAAAACCCTGTGATGTTGTTCGAGTTTGTCCTCCTTGAATCGCCATCGGAACACCAAGGAATCGGACTCTGTCTGTGTTCCCATGATGAACTTCTGCCGGAAGCCCTGCCTGCTGAATTGTGTTGCAAGAATCACAGCTCTCCCTTCCTCTTGTAGACCCTCAAAAGGGCTCCAGAACACCCTGGAAGCAGGTTTTTGGCACCGCAGAGGATGGGAGGTGGAAGAGAAGAAGTAACGCTGGATGCAGAAACACACTGTGATGGATCAAGGCTCCTGTTGGAAGAAATAACATCTCAATTAAGTAAAAAATGTGGAGATCAATTCTTGAAGGAACAGAAATGCTTATTTTGGTGCTACTTTGCAGGGGCTGCACAGAGGATTTGGGGGAGGGAAATACAGTGGTGCCCCGCTTGATGATTACCCCGCTTCATGATGAAATAGCTGCACGATGAGGTTTTTGCAATCGCTATTGTGATCGCAAAACGATGATTGAATGGGGAAAATCCGCTTCAGGACGATCGGTTCCCTGCTTCGGGAACTGATTCTTCGCATTACGACGATCAAAAACAGCTGATCGTTGGGTTTTCAAAATGGCCGCCCACTGTTTTCTGGCCCTATTTCCAGAAGACAGCGATCGAAAATGGCTTCCCCTATGGAGCATCTTCGCTGGACGAGCAGGTATTTCGCCCACTGGAATGCATTGAACCGGTTTTCAATGCATTTCAATTGTTTTTTTTTTCTTTCACTTGATGACGATATCGCTTAACAGCGATTTTAATGGAATGGATTATCGTTGTCAAGCGAGGCACCACTGTACTTCTATTTATCCAGTCAAATTGCATTTTAAAATAGTTTTTTTTGGGGGGGAGTTGTTTTAACAGCTTTGAAATATTCCATGTAATTTTAAGTCAAGATCTGTGTCTGGCTTAAAGATAGAAAGGAGGAAGGAAAAAAAGAGGGAGGGAGGAGCACATATTTAAACCAGCCATACAACTGACCAGCCTGTTGTTCATCCTTTTCTGTTTCCCAGAACGTTGCAACATCATTAGTGGCAGTGGGCGGGGAGTGGATGTTCCTAATTCCTGGGTGAAAGTACCTGTATATTCAAACAAACAAACAAAAATATATATATATACTTCTTTTGTTGTGTTTTTGCACAATTCGTGGGAGTGCCTCTAAGAGAACATACCTGATCTCCACTAGTCAAAAACTGGGTGTGTGTTATGTGTTTGTGTCTACAGAGACACATATACATAAATAAAATCGTTGATGTATATGTGTTTCTTTGAGAGTGTGTGTGTGTGTGCGTGCGCATGCGCGCATGTGCGCATGGGCGTGCCTGCATTAGCCTTATGGTTTTAAAAGAGGGTGAGTGTCTTTTTTCAGTGCTGTGAATGGGATTTTGTGTGCTCTTGCCTCCTCGAGTGAACCCTCTCGTGTTTTGCGTTAAACAATGCTTAAAACCATGCGCGTAGAATGTAAGCCAAAGCTGTCTTTTCCAGTTTATGTCAGGCAGTTTTGAAAACACTGAGAAGAGAACCCTGGGGTGCCCCTCTTCTTTTGCAAAACCTAGGGACCACAGAGGGAGAGATGCTCAAACTGTGCCCCCCGGAACACATAAGCGTTAACACAGCAACACAAAGAAACAGACCCACACCCACACAGAGAGATCTTAACAATATGGAGGGGTTCAATTCGTAAGTCTTTCAGGATAGATTTTTTAGAAGAGTGCCACACTCTCTGGGGGTTTGTCGTTCGTTGGTTTGTTTCTTAAATCTTGTCTTGGCAAATCTAGTGTTGGTTTGTAAGAGGAATGTCTGAAGGGGGGGGAGCCAAGCTTGAAACCCCAGGATCATCACCAAATTTCAACCCAAAGGAATTGGAGAGGGGTGGGGTGTCTAAAAATGCCGTTGTAACGGTCGCGGTGCTTCGCGCGTGTTGTGCAATGACTTCGTTGTTCAAGAAAGGACGAAAAAACAGTCGGCAGACTATAAAAACGGATCCTAAATAGGCACGTTCTATTTACACAAGTCACTGGAGGCTTGTGGTGACTCTAAATGAAATGCCAACTTTTATTGGACTCCAGAGATGTATGTAAAGTTTGTTCCAATCAGTATAATTGTAAGTTCCCCAAGTTTGACAAAACTATATATATATATATACTTTTTAATTTATCCAAAGTTCTTTCTCTCTTGTGCACGTATGTGCTTTACATATATATATATCTATATATATATCTATCTATATTTATCTCTCTAGATAGACAGGCAGATAGATATAGATACTGGTGTATGTGTGTCCGTTTCTTCTCAGCCTTATGCAAACAATATGCAAGAAATGCTGAAACTTGAGTAAAACGGGTCATTGCAGAGGGAGGAATGAAAAAAGCTGAGAGATTGTGTGGGTTTTTTTTGGGGGGGGGAGAAGGATTGTTAATTATTCCGTGAATTTTTTTTTAAAAAAAAAACCCTGCTCCTAACCTGTACTTAGACATTGAAAGAAGGGTTGCAGACGTTATGGATTCTTAAAATAGTTACTGTTTTTTTTGTTGAAAGTAGCAGTTTGTGATGGATTGGACATGATTCTTCATAATCAGTCATGTAACTTTTTTAAAAGTTTTAGGTGAAGGAGTGAGGTTCCTGTTAGCCCCACCTTGCCCCCCACCCCATGTTTCCTTTCCTGCTGACACGGACCACGTGCTGCGATTTTGAGTGTTCTCACATGTCATGCTGGCTGGCCATACCCTTAGGAAGGGACAGGATAGCATCCTTAGTAATAAGACGGTTATGGGCCCTTGGCACAGAGTTTTCAGACCTTGCCTGACTCTTGAGAAAATAACTGCAGACGGGCAAAGATCTGGAGGTGTCCACCATAGTGAGTTTGGTATTTATTTATTTTTTTTGTAGATTTGCCCAACGAATCATCAGATACACGCTGTCCTCCCGCCTCATCCCATGTTGCCAATGATTGGGATTATGCTTTGAGAGAAAAAGTGGGAGGAGCCCAAGTCCTGTTTGAACCACAGTCTGGGAGATTGGGTACTTCAGATGCCAATACAAATAGCGAATCCGCTCCGAGTTTTAGTCCGAACTACAAAGGAGACATTTCCCCCAAGCATCTGAACCTGTTTTTAAGAAGAGAGGCCAGCACCTTAGAGAGCTTCCGTAGAGCTCGGACTAAAACCTGGGGCAGACTCAGCGCCCC